AACTTTAGGAGGGGAGCATTTAACATTATATATCAAAAGTCCTAAAACTCTAGACATATAAGGACTTCCACAAAAATGGAGTAAACGTACCTTTCCCTATTCCTCCTGCAAAGTACAGCTAAAAATTTTGATCATATAAAATCTCTGTGAGGTAGAAGAAATCAGACCGCATAGGGACCTTGGGACAAAAAGAACAGTTTCCTGGGTTTTCCTTTTGCCTCATATATCCCAGACTGGTTACCAGAAAAACTGCAAAGGTAGAAACCTCAATGGACTCAGACAAAAACAAACAAACAAACAAACAAACAAACAAAAACCACCACTGAAATCCTGCTCTCTCTAGTCAAAGGACCGGGAAAGGAGTAACCTAGCAAGACAGAAAACATGAACAATTGCTCTACTCCAGTCAAACACCACAGGAAAAACCGAGGTCCTACCTCTATATCCACCATTACTGGCTGAATGGGGAGCCGAGACTTCCACCCCTCACCAGACTGTAATGAGGTGCCACAACCTCCCTGGTGGGGTGGTGTCAGAGAAGGCCAATTAGGGGGCCAGGACTTTCATCCCCACCAGAAATAGCTGTCCATGGAGAGATAGTGGCAGAATCCTGGATTTCCACCCCTACACAGCAGTAATGAGGAAGTGCTCCTCCACCCCAATGAGGCAGTGTCAGAGGGGGTCTGAGAGTCAGGTCTCTTACTACTGCTTGAGTAATGAGGCCACACCCCTCTCCCCATGGTGTCAGTGAAGGCCACCTGGGGAGCAGTAACAAGGCACTCCTGCTCCTCCTAGCCAGGGTGGACTCGACGGAGGCCTAAGTGGAGAACCTTCACTACAATCACTAAGCAGTAATGAGGAAGTTTTCCAACTTCCAAGTGCCAGCAGAAGTCAAGTGAAGAACCAGGACTTTCACCACCACCTGGCAGTAACAAGATGGCACCCCTTTTCCCCATGAGAGCAGTGTCAGAAAAGGCCTGCTAAAACAGAATAAGATCTAAGCCCCATTATATAATAACAAAAATGCCTGAGTGTCAATCCAAAATTGCTCATTACACCAAGAACCAGGAAATCCTCAACTTGAACGAGGAAAGACAATTAATAGATGTCACATGACACAGCTATCAGAGTTATCTGAAGATTTAACAGAACACAGCCACCATAAAAATGCATCAATGCAATTACAAACATACTGGAAACAAATGAAACAATAGATAGTCTTAGCAAAGAAAGAGAAAGCCTCAGCAAATAAATCAAAGATTTAAAGGAGAACCAAATGGAAAATTTTAAAGTGAAAAATAAAATAACTAAAATTAAAAAAACAACAACAAACTCAATCTATGGGTTCAACAGTAGAATGAAATGGACACAGGACACATCAGTGAACTTGAAAGTAGAATCACAGAAATGACAATATGAAAAAGAGAAAATAGACTGTATAAAAATGAATAGAAGGGCCGGCTGAGTGGCTCAGTTGGTTAAGAGCTCGCTCAAGGGTTTGAGCTCTGAGCAGCAGCAGTTTGATTCCTGGCCCGAGCTGAGCAGTTGCTGAGCTGCCAACAGGTGACAGGATGGCTCAGCTAAAAAAAAAAAAAATAGAAACACATGTAGTTTGCTCTCTTCTTGGTGCTCTTTGTACTATCTTATTATTGTTACCACTTCAGTAATATTCCTTTGTATAATCCATTGTGCTTAGCATGGCAGACTGCTCTTTAATAGGTACAATAAATATTTTTAATAAAAAAATGCAAAGAACCTCAGAGACATGTGGAAGTATAGTGAAAGATCTAACAGCTGTGTCATAGGAGTCGCAGAAGAAGAGGAGGGAGAGGGAAAGGCAGAAAAATATTAAAAAAAAAAAAGGATGAAAATTTCCCAAATTTGGCAAAAGACATAAATCCACAGATTCAAACTGCATGCATCCCCAGTAAGATAAATCCAAAGAAATGCACGCCAAGACATCATAATCCAAGTTCTAAAAATTAAAGACTAAGAAAAAAAACTCTTGAAAGCAGTCTGAGAGAAAAAAAAATTACCTGTAGGGCAAAACAATTCAAATAACAGGATTTTTCTCAGTAGAAACCCTGAAGGCCAGAAGGAACTATAGCTTATCATGGAATACCACTCAGCAACAAACAGGAACGAACTATAGATACATGCAACAAGTTGGATAAACCTTAAAGAAATTACACTGATTGAAAAAGTCAATCTTATAAAATTATATACTATATAATACATTTTATAAGGGCAACACAAGGGATCCTTGTGGTGATGGTCACAAGAATCTACACAACTGCATACGCACATTGTACCAATGTCAAATTCCTGGTTTAAATATTGTAATATAATTTGTTATAATGCAACTACTGTAAGAAACTGGGTAAAGGATACACAGGGCCTCTTTGTACTATCTGTGCAAATTCCTATGAATCTATAATTATTTCAAAATAAAAATATCTACACACTTTGACCCAATAATTCCACTCAAAAAATTTAAAAAACAGTAATGGATGCTACCAAATATTTACTTATAAGGATAGCTGTTTTTCACAGATTAAGCAAAACTTTTCATTAACACTTAATCTAACAGGATGGAATTAAATAAATATGGCATATCTACAATCACTGAAAATGGTATCATAAGACATGCAAAAAGATTTTTGTTGTATTAAGTATTTACAAAAGCACATTATAAAACAGTATGTAAAACGTATTTTTATGAAAATATATATGTATACATATACAAAAAAACAAAGAAACATACATCAAGTATTTATCATCTCTGGGTAGAGGGATTATAGTAATTTTACTTTTCTTTTTAATATCTTCCAAATTGTCAATAGTGACTATGTATTATTAGACAAGATATAAAATATGTGAAATATTTTTATAAATATAAATTTACAAAGTATTCATGAACATAAAATGAATGTAATTTAAAAAACCAAAGGAGAGTGCAGTTTTATTTTGTATCTAAGACACCAACACAAATAAAAAGACATGAAAAAAACTGGTTCAAGTAATAGGGGAAAATAATGGTAACTGCCATGGTAAAGACTGACCAATATCATAAATCACTTTAAAAGGAGAAAAACCTTCTCTGGGCTACTTTTTTCAAAAGAAAATTTAGTATTACAACAATACTGCTCAAGTTTTCTTCTCTCTCCCTGCTGGCATCAAGCTCTCACACTTCTGTTCTACCACATTTTTTTGCCATCTTTTAGTAAACAGTAGCTCTACACTTGAAAATATAGTCAAGTTTTCCTTCACTATGCCAAACCAGATTAGTCTTCTGCTTCTCATAATTCTTATAGCAGTTTGCGTAAAACTTAATATAAGTTTACAGAAAAAAACTCATAGTAACAGACAACAGTTTCGTGGTTACCAAAGGGTAAGGCGGGAGGGGGATGATAGAAGAATTACGGTAAAGGGGGTCAAATATACGGTGATGAAAGGAGATTTGACTTTGGGTGGTGAGCACACAACGCAATATACTGATGATGTATTATAAAATTGCACACTTGAAACCTATATAATTTTACTAAGCAATATCACCCCAATAAATTTAATAAAAATTAAAAAAAAATAAAAATAATTCTAGCTAATGATATTATGTTTCCCTCTTATGAATCTCTAGAGTCCACTGTTTGCTCATATCTCTTGTATTTTCATATTGTGCCTCTACTTATCTGTCCCACCAAAACTGTGGGTCCAGTAAAGTCAAGGCCTATTTCATATTCAACTTTACCTACCCTGAAAATGCCTCGAAGAGAACATTGCACTCAGTTAATATTGTCTTGTTCCATCAGGTATACAATAAGATTATGAACACTTCAAATCAGGCATGTCAGCCACTGGGTCTTCATAATCCCTACAGTACACAGTTTAGGTTTAGGCATAGTGATGTCTAATACATACTTGCTGATTTCTACTTACTGAAACATCTTTAAGAAATATGTTGTAGAAGGCATAATATCTGACAGTGTTAGAGACAGCAATTTTAATACATGCGGAAAAAGAACAGAATTACTTGGCATCAAGTAATCCCTAAATTTAGTTTGATAAAAAAGAAATAAATTGAGGATTTATACATGGTAGAAGTTCAGTAATTGGATTAAGAATTCTAAGAAAAAGTAAAGAAGAAAACAAGCAGTAAAGAAAACATATTGGGTTGTTGGGAAAGTCATGACGCATTTTTGCATTGAAAAACATAGAAAAATATGTCATGACTTTCTGGAGGACCCAATATTTCATGAAAGTATGTTTTCAATAAGTTTAAGAAAAATTACAGGGCCGGCCAAGTGGCACGTTGGTTGGGAGCTGGCTTGGGACGCCAGGGAGCCCCGGTTTGGATCCCACATTGAGGGCCAGTGACACTGCCCTCTACAGGTAAGATGCTGAACAACAGCTCAACCTGGAGCTGGGCTGCTGTGAGTCACTGGCAATGGTGTAGGCTGCAGCCCCTGCTGCAGTGGGTTGCCATGGGCTACCATGTGTAGCCAGCAGCCAGCGTGAGTGGCCAGCAGCTGCTGTGAGCGGCTGTCCAGAAGCCGGCGACTGATCTGCCTCACCCGGGACAAGCGCAATTATGGTGCCAACTTGGGCCAGTGAAGCAACGTCCTCCACAACTAGACTGAAGAACCAAAGGACAGCAACTTGTCTGTTCCTCGTCCCCCAGTTCCCCAGTGCTGTTCCCATCCCCCAAATCCCCAATAAAAATCTTAAAAAAAATTACATAAAGAATTGGAAAGTCACAGAAATTCATTCGTTGGAGAACTTATAATGGTGCCTGTGAAGATTTAGCCACAGAATGTTTACAGACAAGCAGAAAGTATGAAATGACTTATTGTATAAATATACACTGTGTGAACAAATATTGTGAATAAAAAATATATATGGCAAAACTATAAACACAACTCTGACAACTGTAACAATAGATGCCCTCTTCACTTCTTAAGCAAATGCAGAAGACAAATATAAGAAGACTCTACTGTGCTTACATGTGCCTTTCATGCATGTCATTGTTGAAGAACACAACTCAATGACCCGAACAGCCGAAGTTCCTCGTTCCTCTGCTGGCACTGTCAAAATAGAAATCTAAAGAGCAGAAACAAAGTATCAGACATAGCTGTTAGGTCTCATTTTCATTTTTTCTATCATTAGAGTGTAGTTAACTTCCAAATCAAGTATCTTTTTTTCAAACACTCACTGATGCTTGAAAATTTTTTTAGCTTGTAAGGATTTAATTTTAGAACAGAATTTAAACACATAACATGCACAAGTGTCTTAATGTCCAATTTCTGCATTATTTATATATTTATATATCATAGGAGGTATGATAAAAAATATGGTGATTAAATTGAAATAAAAATTATTACAGTAAAAGACACATAGCCATGAATCCCCCTCAAAATACCCCGCCTCGCTTCGAATACACTCATCCCATTGTTCTTGCCACTTTCTGAAGCAGTTCTGGAAGTCCTCTTTCACGGACTGTCTTTAGTTGCACTGTCATGGCTGCCTCGATATCCTGAATCATTTTGACTTTGGGGAAGAGCCAGATGTCCCATGGTGCCAGATCCGGGGAATAAAGTGGATGAGGACACACCAGAATGTTTTTATTTGACAGAAATTGCCATACCAGAGCGATGTGTGACACAGAGCGTTGTCATGATGGAGAATAAAGTAAAGACACTCATGAAAGAGGACTTCCAGAACTGCTTCAGAAAGTGGCAAGAACGATGGGATAAGTGTGCTCGAAGAGAGGGGGAGTATTTTGAGGGGGATTAATGGCAATGTGTCTTTTACTGTAATAATTCTTTTTATGTAAACATTCACTGTATTGTTTGATCATACTTCGTATATGGTGCATTCATGTAATTCATAGGCAATAAAAATTTCAAATATCTTTAATATTTATAAAATCCTTCATTTATTTCAAAGGGATACAATTATGATGTTACTTCTGAATTACATGCACTTCAGTGTTTGAAATCAGATCATATTAAATCAATTTTGATTATTCCTAATGACTAAAAATAGAAGAGTATTTAAAAAATTTTAATGTTACAAACCCCAAAGATATTGAAACAAACTAAGTATATGTTAACATATACCAAAGTATAGTCAAACATATACCAAAATGTTTCAAAATGAAAGGCTTAGGGGCCGGCCGAGTGGCTCAGCTGGTTAAGAGCTCGCTCAAGAGTTTGAGCTCTGAGCAACAGCAGTTCGAGGCCCGGCCCGAGCTGAGCAGCCGCTGAGCTGCCAACAGGTGGCAGGATGGGTCAGCTAAAAAAAAAAAAATGAAAGGCTTCACATTAACTTAAGGACTCCATTAATAAAACTAGAAACTCAAGATTAAAAGAGAAATTGAAAATTATTATTAATGTTTATGCTGTCTTTGGCACCACTGATATGCTATATGGCCTTACATTTGAAAGACTTTAAATGACCATCAGGTAAATGTTTCTCTATAGAACCAAAAGCTTCAATATTAATTCTCAATCTCATCTTCAATCTGAGGAAACTATATCCTCTCATACAGGAAATATTTGCCAAAAGGTAAAGCCCCATTTTTGCTTTTATCTGTGAGCATTATGCTTAGATTTTACTGCTAATATCATGTCGATAGCCCACGGAGGAAATGCCTACAAGTTTTCAAATTAGAAATTCTTCTGATAACCACGACTATCCTACTATCACATTACTTGCAGGTATGTTTTGGGGCTTAAGATGTCTCAAAAACTGTTCTCCATATTCTTCTTAACCCCCTTTGCTGCTGCCCATGATAGAAAATGTACTTTAGCATTAAAGAGAGGAGCTGTTAAAACATGCATTTAATGCTGTGTTATAGTTATCAAATGATTATGACTAAACACATGAGCATAACTGGAAAGGTATCTTAAAGACTGCACCAACATGTAAGTATTTCTTTTGTTTCCTTTAACTATCATCTATTAATTTTTAAAAATTGAGATTTAATCAGTAACCCCCTACCAGAGCACTTTCTATCTCCTGAATTCTGAGAAGGTAACCATCTTAAATCTCATAGAGATTGTAAAAGTCATCAAAAGAGAATTCCAACTCAGTAACACCACTTCTGTAAAATTTATCCAGACCTACACCTACTCTTCTCTTTAAGTCTCAACCTTTATTTTTATTCCAAAATTTAAAACGAGGGGAAAATATAGGAAACAAAGAAAGGCTGACCAGATGTGCATTTTAGACTGTTCACTGCAATGGCTGTGTGGAGGATGCAGGATTTGAAAGAGACAAGATGGGAGGTAGGACAACAAATCAGAAGGCAGAGATGACGAATTCCGAAACCAGAGCATTGAGAATAAGGACTGAAAGAAAAAGCAAATTGGAGGAACTTCTAGGAAGTACACTGACAGGACCTGGAGGCTTGTGATATGTCAGAGATGGGAGGAAGGAGCTGTTGTTGGAAGGACGTCAGTGCTATTCATGGAGGTAGGGAACACTGGATTAGCAGTTTTGAGAGGGAAGATAGTGAATTCAGCTCTGTGTACATTCAGTTTGAGGGACCTTGGGATAGATGTCCAGCAGGAAGTTTGGCAAGTGGGTCAACACTCCTAGGAGATATAGAAGTGGCTGTCACCAACATTTATGCAGAGTTGAAACCATGAATACACGAAGTCAAGCAGCGTGCACAAGGCAAGAGGTACTGTGGGCTGAAGCAAGAACTGTAAGGAACCCCGCTATTCAAAAGGAGGATAGCGCCCACAAAGGAAGCACAGAGGGAATACCTAGAGTTATGAGGAGAAACAGGAGAGCACAGTGTCATGGAAGCCAAAGGAGCAGAGTTTCAAGAGAAAGAAAATAATCGACATTGTCAAATGTACCAGAAATGGCTTAGTAGGCAAAACCCAAAAACTATCCTGTGGCCCTGACCATTATGAAGTTATTAATGAACTTAACAAGAGAAACTGTGGTAGAAATGTGAGGATAGGAGCCAGGTTGGTCTAGAAATGAATGAGAAGGAGCTGGAGGCGGTAAGTATAGATAGTCTTGAAAATATTGATAACAGCAAGAGAGAGATTGGATACTAGCTAGAGATGGGGGCAGAGTCAAGGACACATTTTATTATTTATTTTTGGAACAGAAAATGCTAGTACTCATACATGTATATAGGTTGAGGGGAAAATGCCAGTAGTGTGTGTGTGTGTGTGTGTGTGTGTGTGTGTGTGTGTGTGTG